AAAGAGCAAGATGTACCCACTCCAGCTCTGGGTCCCCTTCTCTTCAGAGAAGTCTCCTGCCTCTGTGTCTTTTAAAATAAACATGTTTTCTACACTTGCCTTGGTGTTTCTCGGGTATTTAATCTTCAACACCAGCAGGACAAGGACCGATCCTGATCTACAAGACTGGTATCAAAATGTTTTAATGCATGTATATATTATGTAATGTTTAAATCAGGTTAAACCCATCAGTCTCCTTAAACATATATATTTATTCTGAAAACTTTTAAAATCCTGTTTTCTAGCTTTTTGAAATGCATAGCAGGTTATTAAATCATGTGCAGGTTCTGTCCTGTGGAATAGCACACCAGAACTTCTTGCTTCCAAGTGTAACCTAAGTACCTGTTTTCTTGATCAGCCTTTTCTTGTTCTCCTTCCCCTGCCCCCAAATACTGTCTCTGGCCTGTGGTAACTGCCAATTCATGCTTAACTTCTGTAAGGTCAACTATTTTAGATTCCACACACCGGTGAGAAAATGTGGTATTTGTTTCTGTTTCCAGCTAAATTTACTTTACACAATAATCTCCAGTTCTATCCATGTTGTTGAAAATGACAGGACTTCATTTTTTTTTTTACAGCTAGATAGTACTCCATTGTGTCTGTGCCACATTTTTATTCATTCACAGTTGATCAGTTGTTTTCGTATCTTGACTATTGTGAATACTGCTGCAATGTACATAGGAATGCAGCTGTCTTTTTTTTTCCAAAATATTTTTAGTTGTAGATGGAGACAATACCTATATTTTGTTTATTATATATTCCTTAATGTAGTGCTGTGGATCAAACCCAGTGCCTCATGCATGCTAGGCAAACACTCTACCACTGAGCCCCAACCCCAGCCCCAGCTGTTTCTTAGTGTACTGATTTCATAAAGATCTGTTTAAATGGAAAAATAAATAAAAACATTTAGAACACTTTGGAGATTACTTGAATGATATGCTATGTCCTTACTTTGGTGACTGTGTATTAGTATTATCATTTTCCCCACCTGTTAGGGAAATAATGAGCTACTTCAAAAGTATGAAATAACACTAAACTTCTCAGTACTCTGAAGTAAACTTGGATATTACATCTCTATTCTTTTGAATAGTGGATTATTTAGGATTATTTARAGGAACAGAACATATATGGTTGTGATTACAAAAATGGGATTTATTTCATTGGCTTACAGGATCAGAAGCTTAATAGTCCTACAATGGCCTTCTGCAGGCTAGAGACCCAGAGAAACCAGTAGCTCCTCAGTCCAGGCAGTTGGAGCTTCAGAAGAGGCATCAAAGATGCAGCTCCAGTTCCATACCAAAGGCCTGAAACTTCCTAGGGAGTCTCTGGTCAGAATCTGCTTGGGAATAGTGAAGGAGCAGGAGTCTGAGTTCCTCAGGGGATCACACTAGCAATTGGAACACCTGTTGAAGAATAAAAGAGTTTGCATCTGTTTGGCTTCCTCCTCTTTTTTGTTCCATCCAGTCCCCAACCTATTAGAAGTTGCTGCTCACCTTAGGCTGGATCTCCCCTTCAGCTTGACTCAGTCTTWATTTGGGGCATCTCTTAATACAATCAAGTGGACCATCTTGATTAGCCACCATACCAAAATAAAAAGAATGTTCATTCTGTAACAAGATAATATTATTACTTTGACTGTTTATTATAGTGCTGTGTTTATCTTTTTGTCTAACATGTGAGATTATTTTTGTTGCATTGAATGAATCCATATTCGTTCACAGATGTCATTGTGTGTGTGTGTGTGTGTGTGTGTGTGTGTGTGTGTGTGTGTTTTATCCTTACTTTGCTTTTTATTCTGTTACTTCCAGGTTTGTTAGAATTGTGTGGTAATATAGAGTAAATTAAACTACAAAAAAAAAAAAAGACTTTTTCAAAGCTCTAACTCTTTGTCCCCTTTTATTTCTTTCTGTGATRTTAGCAGCCATGGAAAACCATTACCTAAATATATTTATTAATTATTACTAGCAAATGGTGTAGCCTAATTCAGTCATTCCTTCTTAATTTATTAACTGGAATATTTCAATAAGAGAAATGTCCTTCATTAACTGTTTTGTTATGTAGAAATAGTTCATGGAGAAAAGGATAATAACATATTTTACTCTTTTCAGTTTCCTTACCAGTTTTAAAAATGTTTTTCTAACATCCAGCAAAAGTTAATACTAGGTATATAGTCAATTTTAATGCATGGATTTAAGTATATGTGAAGTGTTTCAGTCTCTTATGGTCATTACCCTTGTGTATGCTCAAATTATTTATTTTTCATCAGTGGAAGTGTATGAAAGTTGATTGCTAAATCGTTTTGTTTTATTTTCATGTTGATATTTTCCCTATTTTCTGGGATGTGGGCTCTGAAACACCACCAGTGAAGTTGGCAGACCTAAAAAAAAAAAAAAAAGTGAATCTGATCAAGTAACTAGATATAGATATATCTACCTATTTAAAGAAAATGCAGGAAATGAGGGAGTTGTTCAGTGGTATTTCATGGAATGTGGGACAAAACAATCTTTTTTCCCTAGGAATTTGATTTAAAGTAGTGAAAAAAATAATTATTTAGCCATTAAGGGACATACATAATAAAACAACAAAGGTACTTTATAGCATCTCTGTCAGAACATCTTTAAAAGGAACTGGCTGATACCAGGGCCTGATAGGTGACGAAAGTATAAAACCATACATTCTGCTATGGGGTATGTAAAATTTKGGGGCCATTTTGGATCCAATTTGACAGGTTTTTTGGATAAGTAATTCTCTGTATAACTCAGTAATATATATCCTAGTTATTTCCCTTGTAATAATGAAATAGGTCATTTAATACTTTATACATGAAAATTCATAGTGGCTTCATATACAATTTTCCCAATTACAAACAGTCCATATGTTCATCAAAAGGGAATTATATACACTGGAATCATTGTCAGAGTAAGAAGGAATTAATACATGAAGCCACATGTATGGAGCTCAAAAGCAAAGAGCAAGAAACAGGCTCAAAAGGCAACATGCTATATGATTTGAAATTCTGGAAAAGACAAAATTATACAGACAGCAATCAGACTAGTAATTTCCAGAGGATGGTATGGAAAAGAGATTCACTAAAAAGAAAGGGTTCCAAGAAGTTTGGGAAATATTTTATAATATATATAATAATGGAAATATTTTATAGCCTGATTGTAGCCATGGTTACATGAATGTCAGGGTTTGCACAATTCATAGAAATGTGTATTTTATAAAGGGTGAATTTTATAGCAAGTAAAACCAATAAGTAACTGGAAAATATAATGGGAGATTTAATAAACACAGGAATGCCAGCTCATTGTAATATATAACATTTATTTGGAGTTTGATTTCCTGTTGATTTGAGACAACAAAGAGTATTAAACATTGACTTGATATTTGACATTAAGGAATTATTGTCTATTAATTAAAATATAGTTAATATAAAAGTATTTTAGAAATAAAAGCTGAAATTTTTACAGATGCAATGATATAATTACTAGAATTTGTTTCAGAGAAATCTTTCAGTGGAAGAGAAGGTAAACACACAAAGATAAAACAAGATTGACTATGAAGTTGGTAATTAATAAAGTCAGATGAATATTACATGAGAGATCATTAAGCTATTATCTCTTTTGAAATATGTTTGGAAAATTCTGCAATAAAAATTTAAAAATTATAGCTTAGTTTCACAAAAAAATGTTTAGTACCGGTATTCTGCAATGAGTAAATTTTATCACAGAAATTTAATGATAGTTTCATATTCTAAAGTTTATTAGTAAAATGTACCTTATAATCCCACTCAAGTGGAACTATGGAATCCTTACAAAGACACTAAAGAGTAGATGCCAAACGTCATAATCACATTGGCATTGTAATTTTTTTTTTTTTTTGGAAAGCAATAAAACCTACCTTCTTTGCAAGATTAACTGAAATTAACGATGAGCTATGAAAGCATTGTTTCTCAGTGTAACCCATGGCCTACATACTTCTGTGGGGCCTGGGAATTAATAGATGAAAATATCGGTCTGATTATAACTATATTTCTCTCTATATGTGTATTCTTTCTTTCTGAAAACATTCCAAAATCTCTAATGTGGTAGTCTCTAGCCCTTTCCAGCATTGTTTCCAAACTCCTATTTCAAAATAATTTCCATTCTTAGTTTCCAGAAATTGAACAACTCTTTTTAGTCATGTCTCAGTTACTTTATAGATGGTTTTCTAAAATTAAAAAAAAAAAAAAAACAACACATTTTCACTACATGTGATTGAAGATCTCTTTGTCCTGGCCTAGCTCAAGCTTTAGGTCCTTTGTGAAGCCCTCCTGAGCTGCTTTCTCAACCTTAGTTCAGCTTAATTGCAAGAGTACTATTTTAGAATTTTAACAGAAATGTGCTTACTATTTGTTTACATGTATGCCTTGTTTTAAACCAGATGAAGTTACTTTTTATTACAGAAAAGACACATAGTTTTTGTTTTTGCCTCTATTAATTATTATATACCTAGTACTTACAGTGATATAGTCTATGCTTTAAAGATAGCAGTTTACTCAGTTCAAGTTGTTTCCATACTTTACTGATAACACTTAAGCATATTAACATAAAAACAGAAGTTTGTTGGCTTTAATACAATTTTTTTTAAAAAAAAGTATAAAAAGACTATAAAAGTGGAGATACACAGAGGTGGTTTTATCATTCAATATCTCCTATAAAAGGCTTTTAAATTGTTTTTAATTACGTATTTCAGCATTGTTAAACCTAAATGTATGTACATTATTTTAAAATTATCACTATTTCATTTATCAAATTATTGGTATTATTATATGCTAATATTTAATATGTAAAAACAAGTAATAAAATTATTAGAGCTAATGTGATGAATAATAAAGGTAGGTGATATTGATTTAAATAATTTAACATTTTTACAGCAGTTGAGGAATTCATCCAAGTTTTATTTATTTAATTCCAGTTGTGTTGCTTGATACGACAACTGTGCTGGGAGAACTAGGATGGAAGACGTATCCATTAAATGGGGTAAGTTTAAATGTCTTAAAAATTCTTATCCTTGTTAAGGTCTCTTGTAAGAGTTGAAGGAACAGTAGACTTTGGGTTCTATTTAATATGAATTTTGACTTATAACTTAAATCCTATAGAAAAGATTAAAATATCATTAAACTGGTGATTGAAGGGGATGATTCTAAAATAATGATTTAGAAGCCTTGCTCCTAATTTACATCTTATCCTTTAATGCTGTGTTTTATACATAGTAACACTAGAATTCTCCCATGTTTTCTTCAGAAATAAATATCCATGTGTAGTTTCAGACTCTTTTCTGTATGTTACACTTGTTAATCTTGTGTTTGTGCATAAGCAAGCTTCTGAGTATCACAAGTATATTGTGTGACACTAACAATTTGGTTTTGAATAGAAAATATGTCTACTAATGTAGTATGTGTTTGAACTTGACAAGATGATGTACTGTGTTCTTAGCTGGAAATAGTTGATTTTGAAGGTTTATTGGGATGTATGATTTACAAAATACAGTTTTTCATGTACTGACATTTTAGCTATGGTTGTAGTTGACTTTTTATGTTTTGGCCTGTTTTGCATTTTCAAATTGCAATGAATTTCTTCTTCATTTGTTGTTATTAGGCTAATATAAAAGAGTGCTTTGTGAATTTTTTACTTGATATTTTTCTATTTAATTAAACTCTTCAATAATAGGAACAAATGGTTCAGCTGTGCTTGAGTTAATCTTTTTTCATAGAAACTGTATTTTCGCATTCATCATATTCTTTGTTCATAAGTTTTACATTGCTTCTACCAATAAATCTGAAATTTAAATTTGAAAGAAAAGTTGATCAAAACACATTTTTATTTTTTTGGGATGTTTACATATTGCTGTTTAAATTTGACATTTTATTTCATTAAAATATATATTTTCAACTCAAAGCTTAGCATTAACACTTTATCGTCCTATTTTCTTATAGATTTATTTTATATTCTGTATTTTTTTCAATTTTCATTTTATTTCAATAAAATGCTCATCAATCCATTTCTGAGAAATATATCTATAAAAGTAAAATTATGCTTTTTTCATACTCTTCCATGACAAATAATAAACTTCAGTTTTGGGTTAAATAAACTTTAAGTTAATAGTATCAGCTAATTAAGTATTAAATGGACCATGTTTATCATTAAGTAATGAAAAAAAAATGAATTAACATTTCTTTTTGAATATCATTCCAAGGTGTGTGTATGCTTATATACATATAATCATAAGAGATATACATCTATCTATCATATAGATATTCACAATGTATAAATAAATACATAGATGTAATTTCTACAGTATACAAAACAACTTATAAACACTTCCAAACATTAAGTAGTTTAAAGCCCTCTTTTCCATTTTCTGAAACAAATGAGAAAAAGCTATTAGAAACATTATTCTTGGCCTCATGTAGTCAAAGTCAGGTATCACATGAGGAACAGAAGATATGAACTTGTTCTAGTGGCTATGTATGGCTTGATCAGGCCTCATTTTTGAGGAAACGGGTAATGCAGAGACTTAGAGAAKCATAAATGAAGTTGCTTGCTGCTGTCAGTCTTGTGATGAATTTTCTCTGGATATTATGAAGTAGATTTGGGAGTTATGGAAGAGAGAGGGCAGGATTGTCAGGAAAGGAACCACTTAGCTCATGGTTTTCTATTTTCCAGACACTGCCCTCAGCATATTTTGTTTTCACAATGGCCTTTTGAAGTGTGTCATATATTTATTTTCTTGTCAGAGAATCCTAGTCCTAAAAAAGAGTGAGGAATAGAAAACACTAACATATTTTGTAATACTAACAGCCAAATGGTGAATGGTGGAATATAAAACTAAGATATTTCTGACTCTAAACTTGTTTCTTTCTGGTGACTCTGCTGAGAGAGAGAGGCATGAAAACTTCATGAAAGACCTTTTTACAAATGTGCAGTCTTTACCTAATTGATTCATATTTCTTTTCTTTGATACCCTTAAAGAAACACACACACACACACACACACACACACACACACAATATTTACAGTTGGGACACTACTTAACTATTACCAAGAGGAAAGAGAGAAAGAATAGGGGGACGAGAAGAGTAAAATAGAAAATGAATAGATAGAAAAGATAAATAGAATGAAATAGGAAAGCATTTGAAGGTTATGTTTTATTGGACATTTGCCACATGCTAGACTTCACCTCAAAACACTTTACTCAGATCAGTCCTGTACATCAAATATAATTCAACCTCATTGGTACATGTGGAAATYGGGGACTCAGGTGCATTAAATAACATTCACAAGGTCATAAAGCTAGGAGGTAGTTCAGCAAAAGTCCTAAGCCAAATATATCCTAATCTTGACACTTATGGATCGTCATTTCACAGCTAGTTGCTTTTTATTTCTTCAAAGATTCTAACAGGTAAAGATAAAGGTCCATGACCAACATATTTAGACTGTGGAGGGAAAAATAACATGTGGATTCAAACTTTAAAAAGTAAATAACTAAAACACATTGAAATATTATCATTAGTATGGGCTATAATACTTTTAGGTTATCTCCAAATAATAACCTATATTTACTAATTGAGAACAGGAGGACTATTTGAATATAAAAGCACCTGGATATATTTCACAATATATATGTATGAAACTATATAAATTTTAAGGTAAGATCAAGGCAATTCAAGGGAAACAGTAAAATGGATAGAAAACAGTGTTAAAGAAAATGTACAATTTAAATTATCTTCTAATAAGGAGGATAGATTACTGGTAAGTATCAAACTTAATGCTATTTATAGGCTAAAATGAATCAAATATATGAAATATGATATGTCAAGAGCTATGTAATGTTTTGAACAACTAATAATAGTAAAAAAAATAAAACTGCTGGTCCAAAAAGATGGACCCAGGCACAGATAACTAAAAAAAGAAAAAAAGAAATAATAAGTAAGAAGGAAGAACTTTGAAAAAAGACTATTAGAAATGCCAAGAATGAAAATAATCTAGACATCARTGGAGCTTAAATTACTTATAAGATCTGTGGGAACCATTTATTACTATATAACATTTAAACAATAATTTCTAGCCACTTATTAAAATTGAAATTTTATTTATTTGGATTTATAAGACTCTTGAGTTCTTAGTTTTACTGAGTCAGACTAATTTGAATGAACAATTTTAACTATTATCTTTTTCAGGCACTAATTTCGGTAGTTTAATGAATATGTCATGTGTGGAAAAGATGATTAGATAATATAATAATTTGTCATAAAAAGTATATCTAATATTTCTATTAGTAGATAGTAAATCTTGTATTTCTATTATTTCTATCTAACATATTCTACTATTCATGTGAATTATATATTTGGAATAACGTTTTTAAATTGAAAAAGCTTTCTTTCTATATAAGAAACAGAACTGAGATGAAATACTAAAATGTACTATATAAAATAAAAGAAATTTAATCAGTAATTCCATAAGTCTTTATTTTTTTCCTCCCTTTTTAAGTTAAAGAAGCCAGATTACCAGGAGTGCTATGCTGATAGTTACAGGAGTAGGCATTCACAATGTGCCTGTGAATAGAATTCCTATGATCATTGGAGTAGGGGGGTGAGCTTCCCTATTTTTTGAACATGGAAAAGGGATGAATAGTCTTGAGTGAATGACTTCATATCTTACAAAAGTGGAAACAGAATATGTTAATTTTCTGAAACATTTGCTTGTATCAACATATAATTTATAGTTTATTTTCTTTTAACCATTTTCCAGAATTCAATTTAACAAACTTCTTTTTTATGCTCTATGTGCCATGCATCCTGTTAAGTGTGCTTAAATAACAGATTTTTCTAGCCTCAGGCAGTCTTACATTATAGAAATTATACTGCACAATCAGAAGGCCAAAGAAAGTGTCTTCACATAGTTTTGTGTAATGTTTTGTGAAAGAATATTAAGGGAAGGATTAATTCTGGTGAGAGAAAATTGGGTATGAGAAGTGTTGTATCAGCTTTTTTTTTTTTTTTTTTTAATAAACTGTGAAGGAATCACATATGGTCTGGAAGAGAAAATAGAAGGCACTGTCTAGGCAAAGGAATGGCTCCAGAAAAAACATGGGATTGTTAAACCCATGTTCTTAATGTGTATTATTATCAATTCTTATATATTAGTTCTCATACAATTCTTAATGTGTGTTAAGCTTCAGGACTGTTGAGACTCATTTGTCTCCTTGTAGTAGAGGGTTGCATTGGGAAGTACAGCTGTCATCACAGGCTAAGCCACAGTGCAAAAGACAGAATTTAAGTGTCTTACTTGATCTAATAGTGTGTATTTCAATTCTAATAAGTAAATGTGAAAATAAAGCCTTTCTCAATTTACTTAAAAATTACTGAAGTTTTCTTTTAACAGAATAATGCAGACCCTTGGAAATTAAATAGGCATTGGAAAATTGGAAAGATGCTTTAAATATAAATGACATGACCTTCCTCAAATTAAATCATAATATTTGAAGCTTGATTTTAACATAATAAAATATAAAAGTCAAAATATGTGCCTGTATTTTATGTGTGTGAAAACACTTTTTTAATGCTGCTCAAAAATTTAAATTTGTGCACATTTTTCCATTGATTTCCGTAGTATTCTGTTAGATGCTTTGCAAGACCATAATCTTATCTTATTGTATTACACTGACAGATAAGGAATGGAATAAATTCCTAGAATAAAGTTCTTAAAATTTTTGAATTATTCTAAACATTGGACAGAACACTGTGTTAAGGCTTAATGACCATCGATTCCCAAACTCTGATTGAAATGTCAACTCTCACCTCATATGGACTTCTTTCCTTTTGAAGTTTTTACTTTCTCAGTTTACTTTTAGCCACTAAATAATTTTATAAACAAAGGGAAAATAAAATTATTATAATAGGACCCATAGATAAATGTCGTAACTGAAACCCCTACTATCCATTACAGCTTAGACCCCATTTATTATCACACAGCTATGG